CTTAAATAAATCCCACTTTCTTCCCAGAATATAGCACTCAGCTCCTCGTGTCCCAGTAGTATTTCCTGGGATATCCAGTTTTTAGGAGTTAAAGGGATTTAGAGACTGTTCCCACAAGCTCTCCCATTTCTACAGTTTGTTTTCTGAGCAGCAAAAGGTACTCACATCAACATGATATGTGATATGTACGTACATTAGTGCATGTTCAAGTCTGTATACGTGTATAACACATAAATGTAACACATAAGTGGTGTGAATGTACCATCATTTAAAAAAACTCAGCTACAGTTACTATTAGGGGGCTTGGCAGTAAGCTCTGAGCCCAGCACGCAAGTCACATAACTTCCCTCAGCATATGTGTGAAGGTACTAAGGATCAGATTAAACACAGGCAGTGACACATACACACGGCAAGCACTCATCCATGTGTTGATGAACCTGTTGTCTCTTGACTGTGAAAGCTGACTTTTTAAGCTCCTTGGATAATCAGGTTGGAGGATGGTAATAGCCTGTGGCAATGGTGGGAGTGACGGCATCGGTAGCTGCGCTCAGGCTCGTCACCTCCTCCAGATACAGTTACGTCTAAGGTACTGTAAGTCACCCTGACCCCCCTGAGGGGACAGGTCCCTTCAGTAAATGATCACGACCTGGGCAACATCATTAGCCGACTGCTATGTGGCAGCAGCTCCTTGGCAGAGTGATAAGCAGAAACACTCTTCTGGGAAATGCTTACAGTGCACTTAGAGGTGACAAAGATAATATGGGCCATGCACTTGTTATTCTCTGCAGAGCTGCACATCATTTGTACGCTTCAGCTATAAATAAAGCTTTGTCACAAACCAAGATATGGAGTCTGGATGATGCACTGAGCTGCAAGCATACTGAAATCTGTGATTTCTAATTGACCGTTTACTAAGTCCTTCCCCCAAACAGCGACTGTCCAATCATAGCTTATTGTAGAGTTCAAGTTTACACTGCATCAAAACAGAAATTATGATTAAAATCGATTTAATGTCTCCATAACACTATGGTCTTTCGTTCATTTTCTTCAAGTTGAAATAATCAATTTTCAGTATTTAGTTTACACAACCATTGTAGTATCTGTCTTTGAGAAAAGAGTTGTATTTTTGACTCTAATGTGATGTTCTTATGTTCTTTTCAACTGGCAGATATTATCCTCTACAGGAGTGTGAGAGAGTGTGAGTGTGTCTGTTTGATGATTTTTGATGCAGAAGTTCTAACAGCTTTGATGGACAGCAGACATCTTCGCACACATTTTCAGAGCCCTGAAGAAAAGTTTTCAAAGATGTCAGCCCATTCAGAAGAAAGCAACAGCAACAAGCACCATCTATTGACTGACAAGCTGACAAGCAGCTATTAAACCCAGTTGAACCGTTGACGTGAAGTCGCAGCACCAAGAATAATCGGACAGCGCTGCAAGATATTATCTATGCCGATGATGGAAACAAAAAAAAATAAAACATACTCAAAACAGCTGTTTACTGAAGGGAGGTGATATCTCAAAAGGGCAAATTTGCACGCATTGTTTGTGTAATTAGGCATTGAGGTATTTTTTTAAAGTGGCAGCAAACAGATGGACTTTGGAGCTGCAACCATCTATCAGCCATAACACAAAAAAATACTGCATCTCTAACAGGGTAACAGAGAACAATTGTAGGTTGGTTTCCATAGTGAGCAAAGCTAATCAGTCATTTCTCATCTTCTTTTTGAGTGACACCAACCAAGCTCGGAACACCCTTGAAATACAGGCTCGAAGCATTAACTCAAATATCCATCTATCGCTTTACCTTGACCTTTCATGCGACCCAAAACCATTAAACACCTCCCATGTGAGTCAGAAATGAGATGATTGCTATCTCGCCTTAATTTGCCATTTCAACATAAGACAGACATCAGAATGAGCCGCCAAGTGTAATTGCCCTTGTCTAGTGCGCTCGATTGTTGGTTCTCCATAAGAAAGAGACAGCAGGCGTCCTTCATTTGCCACACGATGAACCTCATTCTCAGAATATATAGGGAGGTAATTGAGCGATGAATTACTTTTGCATCAGCACCACTCAATGACACTGATTCTGATGTAGTAATATATTATCCCCCCCTTTGTGGCAATTTATCCCCAAAATGACATCCAATGGAGAAAAAAAATGAACCTCCTTTATCAGATCTGAAAAACAAGCTATCAAACTTACCAAAAGTAACATTATTTTTACATACATAATTTTTTTTTTCTATCTCTCCAAACTGTGGGTCAGGCTTCAGAAAGTACACTGCATTATGCTTTTTCATTATGTTAAGTCACGTCTCTGGGCTTGACTTTTGAGCGCTGTCATTCCCTAAAGAGAAGAAATAAATGAGTTTCACATCAACTAATGCAATCAGACGCGGTTAAACCGGGATCTCCAAAAATTTGATTATATCTGCTATAATTGAGTAGACACCTCTACCTAGGATTATATTGTTGGGGCAAAAAACACATTTATATGTGTGATAATTGGAGATAGAAATAGACGTCTAAATGGAAGATAATTTAAAAGAGAATAATATGTAGTGCGTGAGATTGAGAAAAAGATACCAGTCAACATGAAAAAAAGAGGACAATCTTTATTTCAATCTTTCAAACCTGTTATAAAGTGTGACAATCTCAATTCAAACCCAAAGAGAATGGTAGGCAACTACAAAGACCAGAAGGCAAGGCGAGGGCATGGTTTCCTTTAGTGCAGTTTCACAGTAATAATACAGATAACCTCTGTAAAAATTAAAAGCAACAGGTGTGCTTAGGTTGAGGTGCCTAAGTCCATCAAGGTTACAAGATTTACTGAGCTACAAAAGCATGATGAAATGAGTAATGATGAATAACCAAAAACCTCACATTTTATTACTTGGCTACAATTTTTAAAAAGGGTTAGTGAACGGGGATAAAGATACACAATAATAGCATTAACAGCTGAAAACATTCATTACCATTTGGAAATATCTTAATTCAAGGTCTGCTCAGTATCTTAATAGTTTGCTCAGCTGTCACTACGTCAGATGCCTTTAGAAACCTGGACCTAGAGTCAAGATTACTTTATCTACTGTTCCCAAGGTCAAGAATGAACTTAATTCTTATTCATTTCAGTGCTGAAGTCCCCTTGAGAGAAAGCCTGTTATAGAAGCATTCATTACTCATTTCCAACTTATAATTGCTTTGTAGCTCTGTGAGTTAAATACAATGCATGAATGTTCCAGATAAATAATGTAAAACAAATGCAGAGCAAATGATTATCTTGTGTACCCCTCTAAAAGGAATAGTTTGATATATTGGGAAATATTCCTTCGTTTTATTGCCAAGGTAGATGAGTAGATGTACCGTTATTACGAAATGTGCCAGCAGCTGAATTAGCTTAGCTTAGCATAAAGACTGGAAGCAGGGGGAAACGGGGACAGAAACTGCCAACGAGCACCTCTAATGCTCACTAACACGTTACATCTTGTTTTTTTAATCTGCACAAAGGTGTAAAGACAACATTGTGTGATTTGAAGCAGGTTTGTGTGCAGAACTACATCTTGGCCAGGCCCAGTGACTTCCTGGAGTCTTGTCAGCACTGTGAGGTTTTCAGGCAACCAGTGAAGACTCCCAGGAAGTCCCTTAAGTGTTTGTGTGGTCTGCAATATAACGTTTTAATTAGTGAGCTTTAGAGGGGCTGGTAGGCAGACTTTATTTTCTTTTGACAGAACTAGGGATGGCTGTCTTTATGCCAAGCTAAGCTAACCAGCTGCTGGCACTAGCTACATGGTTTCCCTTCAGACATAAGAGAGGTTTCTCATCCAACTCTTGGCAAGAAAGTGAATAAATTTACTTTCTAAAATGTCAGACTATTACTTTCAATCATCAGCGTCTTACTTGATGAGTGATGTGGTCCAACCTGATTATTTAACATGAGGGATTTTCATACAGTATATTGGTTTTATCTGTGCTCTTCTCACTAGTTTGGAGTGGGCAGGGATGCGTTGTAAGAAAGACGATGTCGGGTATTTCCATGCACCAATCAAAAGGAAGCATCTTAATGACAGACACTGGGAAATTTGCTTCAGTTTCCATGGAAACACCACTTTAAATCCACTTTCAAAATTACACCCTGAGTGTTAAATACATGTTTTTATTCATTTTGTTTATATTTTTGTTTTTCTTTGTTAGTGATAAACATTTACTAAAAAGATAATGAAACATGTTTTCAGGTGCTTTGACATGCTGTCAGAGAGGCAACACTGGGCCCAAAATCCAACAGGGTGCACACTCTACTGCGTATTTTTCATGAAAATGGTATTATAGTGGGAGCAGCAGATTTTTTAGGGAGCACTTGCTCTTTTCATGAAACAGGCTGGCCACTTGAATCCACGAGGAAGCCGTAACCCCTACTTGATTTCAGCTATTATATACACTTTAGTCACAAGGGTTTGAAAATAGGATAGAGATGGATTTCTATGCCTGGAGAAAACTGGCAATAGTGGGTTTTAACAAAAGAAAAAAAGAAAAAAGGGGGGGGGGTAGCAAGACAGTCCTAATATGTTGTACGCTCGGTGTACTTCTCAGTGCATTGGGATGTAAACTTCAACCTGCCTACTGAATTCAATATAGCAACCAGTGATGGAGGACAGATTGAAATATGGAAACAGACAGAGCCAGTCTATCTGAGGAATATAAGTTGTTAAAAGCCGCAGGAACTACTGATGCATGTTATGGGTGTCTGCTGTACAGGTACAAGCCATATACACTGTGAATGTTTAGCTGGTTGGTCGTGTTGGGCTGAAATTAGTTTTTTTTTTTTTT